AGAATGTATGGGGCTTATGAAGTATTTTTATCATATTTTTATTATATGCACTTAGACTACGTAAAATGTTTGTATCTCCTTCGAATATGTTAACACTCACATGATAAACACCACATTAAAAGTTAACTTTGCAGTTCCAAGTTTAATAGAAAAATATTTCACTTTAATTGAGAGAATATGAATCTTACCGTGAAAAGATGTAACAGTTGTGTGAGCTTTGCAGTCCCGACTGTTTCAAAACAATCTCAAGGTATTCGTCACCATCCGATGTAGTTTTTGTTTCCACTTGTTCCACAGTGAAAACTTCTACTGGAGACAAGAGTATTTCATCCTGTTCTTGACCGCACACATAGTCTTTCAGGTTGACAAAGAAGCATGAAGTGAGATTTAAAATAGTATTCTCATTGACATCTTCAAGTCTCTTTAGCTCTTTATAGTCTGAATAAGCTAAAGTGAAACTTGTAAATCTCACTGTGGAGCCTTTCTGTGGTTGGTGTTGGCCATCTTGAAAAACATAAAAGTTCTTGCACTCCTTTGGCTTCAGCAGCCTCATGGAGTCCATCAGCAGGAAATGAAGAGACTTGAAGTTGAAGTGGTTTTCATAGATGCTAACATTTCCACCCATTGTCTCTATTGCTTTGTTCAGTGTTTGTATGAATGATTTATCCGCTTTAAGATAGACTGAAAGTGCAGCACTATGCTCTTTTCGTCCTTGAGGGATCTGCTTTGAACACTCGTTACTTTTATTCCACGCTTTCTGAAATCCTTCACTGTTATTTAGCTCTCGTTTTAACACATCTGACTCGATGAACGTCTTCATGGCCTCTTCACGGCATCCTTTGTACTGGTCATCTACAACATCTGTGCTATTTAGAAAATCCAGTAGCCTTGTTTCCTGTGCGGTCACCTTTAATTGAGATTTATCACATTTAAAAACACATTAATAGAGATATATCATTTTTAAAAGCATTTTTAGGAGGATAATTTTTCAAATCTTCTTATATTTGTTTGTATGAAACATAATTCTTACTTTGTAGCAGACAGCTGTGAAAAAAAATATTGTAGCAAGAAGCACTCTTTTTCTGTACTCCATTTTTTTCCTCTTCTTCTACAGACTGAAAGAAAGCACTGCAGGATCACATGTGGATAGAAAAAAGTTCTTTAACACTTTACATGGTCCAGAAACTTTGATGTGGAAAAAATATATAAGTAGAAGACTAAAAAAAACTAAAAGGCACTTACCAGAAGCAAGGAGAGTAAACTTGTGCTAGCAACTCACAGCAAAGGGTCCATCAAACAGCCGGGACACCCAATAGGGTCTGGAGAAGTGAAGCAAGTTATCTTACCATAGAACTTCTTAGTCTTTCCTGTGGAAGGAAGTAACATGGCACCGGGGGATTTGTTTTCCACTGATTTTTCCTGTTATTTGTCCTTCTGGAGCTACTGAGTTTCTGTAACCTTGTTTAGATTTGTCAAGTAATGTCTACATAACTTAGCTCTTTTAAGCCCAACCAAAGCACCAAATTGCCTTTACATCCCTGTTCTCACATTATTTCAGTATAACTGATGGGACCAAATACCACAGTCCTTGTTCCATGCAGATTTTATCTAAAGTAAACAAGAGACTCCAGCAGCCCTACTTGGACAAATGAGGGCATATTAAAGTTACAGGAATGAAACTGTATGAAAACAAGCTGTTGTATAACAGAACTGCTGTCCACACTGGGGTGCACCTTAACTTTATGTGCGTAATGTAGGAAGGAGTAAAAGCGGCACATTAAAAAAAAAAGTTCATTTTGAGATTAAAGTTGAAATGGGCAGATTACAATTATTGTTTCAATTCAAACAACTGACACAATTCCTATACCCTCAACAAATTTCCTTGTGTAGATCAGTTAGTGAAACAACTTGATCAGCTGTGTTATTGTGTATTCTGATACAACATACATCGTCCTTATTGCACAAGGGTGTAAACATCAGTATTCTTGCATCTGTTCATTGCACAATTTCCTGGATGCCCTTATACTCATAGCCACACTGTGTTTACGCGTTAAAAGAGCAATAACTTCCTTGCTACTAAAACTGATTCTGAAGTATGATTTCACTAACTCATGTTGTATAATAGATTAGTATTTTGAGTAATGACCCCAACACTGAATACAACCTTTGCCATTGTCTGCCATCTTTGCTGTACACCTAGTTTCCCAGTACTCCTGTCTACTTTCTTCATCTCCCTCACTATCCCGCTTTTTCTTTGTTAACCTTTGTTCTTTGAATATTTTTCTTTGTAGAGCACCAAACATCTTGCTGCCAGTTTCCCTCAGCCCTGCAGCTGTCATCTGCTAACTCTTCGCTACTCCTCAGAGGCTGTCGCAACTCCTTCATGAACTCTGTGTGACATTCTTACTTCCTCAACATTCACCATTTAATCCTTGGCTCAGCCTTCACTTGTTTCCATTTCTTGATTTCTAAAGCCATGTGACAGCCTACCATCCACAGCCTAGCCACATTCTCCCCCGACACCACCTTCCAGTCTCCTCTGTCTTTCAGGTTGCACCTTCTGCAACAGATATATGGTGCTATGCATTTACTGCCTTCCTGATTTCTATTTTTTTAAACCAAGGAGATTCTGTTTTTAGTATTGGGTTTGCATACTCTGTTTTCTTCCCATCTACTGGAGAAAGAGAGAGAGAGAGAGAGAGAGAGAGAGAGAGAGAGAGAGAGAGAGAGAGAGAGAGAGAGGAAGTGCAGTTGCAAAGGTCTTAAGCAAACCCTCAAATCTTTATAAAACAGAAAGTTGACACAGTGGTTTAGTGAAATATGTTTAAACAGCCACACTACAGTCAGTGACCAGAGCTGTGGTCCACCATTGCAGAGAAGAAGACAGGACAAACACATCCTGCAGTGTTAAATGAAAAAGAATGAGGTCTG